GCGGAGGTGCCGTTGTTCGGCGCTTAGATTGGAATCCATCGCGATCTAAATCACTTCGAGTATGACTCCTTCATCCGCGTTCTTGCAACGCTTCCGTCTCGCGATCTTCAAGTGTATGAAGATGCACTCCCCTCTCTCTCGTGGCTAGTTACTCCATAGATTGATCTTGGTGATGCGTAGAATTTTTTTAATTTCTGCAACGATCCCGATAGATACCCTTCTCACTGATCATGATCCAAGGTCTACCGTAGAGTGCCAAAAGCACTCCGTCTGGCCTAAATGGAAGGATGCAATCCAAGTAGAAATTGCCTCGCTTAACAAAAGAAAGGTATTCACTGAAGCAATACCGACACCTCCCAGTGTTTTCCCTGTGGGATTCAAATGGGTTTTTCTTCGGAAATGGAATGAGAACAATGAGATGGTGAGATATAAAGCAAGGCTCATAGCAGAAGGTTTCACGCAGAAACCTGGCATTGATTTCACTGAAACATATTCTCCAGTAATGAGTGTAACCACTTTCCGATACCTTATATCATTGGTAGTGCAAAATCATCTATCTATGCAGTTGATGGACGTCGTGACCGCATATCTTTACAGGTCACTAGATTCAGACATATATATGTAGGTTCCTGACGGAATCTCTGTCCCGAATAGAAGTGCAAAATGCAGCATGTATTGTGTAAAGCTGAATAAGTCATTATATGGCTTAAGGCAGTCGGGACGGATGTGGTACAACCGACTTAGTGAGTTCCTTCTTCAGAAATGTTACTCCAATAGCGCTGATTGCCCATTTGTCTTCATCAAAAAGTCCTCTATAGGATTTGGCATCATTTCTGTGTATGCTGATGATCTCAACATTATCGGCAGCACACCAGACATTGATGAAGCACACAATCGCCTAAAGATGGAATTTGAGATGAAGGATTTGGGTAAAACCAAATTTTGCTTAGGCATTCAACTTGAGCACCTTCCCTCAGGAATCATGGTACACCAATCTGCCTATATTGAGAAAATATTGGAGAAATTCAATATGGACAAATCCTATCCATCCAAAACTCCCATGGTGGTTTGATCTCTAGACGTAGAGAAAGATCCGTTCAGACCTAGGGGTGACGGAGAAGAGGTGTTGGGACCTGAAGTTCCATACCTCAGTGTCGTTGGAGCGCTTATGTACCTTGTAACTTGCACAAGACCTGATATTGCATTTGAAGTGAATCTACTTGCTAGACATAGCGGTGCTCCCACCAAACGTCATTGGTTTGGATAAAGAATATCTTTCGATATCTCTAAGACACAAAGGATCTTGGCCTATTTTTCCAGTTACAGAAAAAATCAGGACTCTGGTATGGTTGGATATACAGATGCTAGCTATTTGTCTGATCCCCATAATGCCAGATCTCAGACCGGCTTCATGTTCCTACATGGTGGCACTGCTATATCATGGAAGTCTTCAAAACAGACTTTGGTGGCAACATCTACCAATCATTCTGAAATAATTTCATTATTTGAAGCAACATGCGAATGTGTATGGCTTCGTAGAATGATAAACCACATACAACAATCATGTGGAATTGGTTCGATAGAATCACCCACCATTATCTATGAAGATAATGCGGCCTGTGTTGCATAGATGCAAACAGGATATGTCAAGAGTAATATCACCAAGCATATTTCTCCTAAATGCCCCCTCCCCCAATAATCTTCAGAAAAGCGGGAAAATAAGCATTCTGCAAGTCAAATCATGCGACAATCTTGTCGATTATTTACCAAGTCTCTACCAAATTCAACATTCCAGAAATATGTTCATGGAATTGGTATGCGACGACTTAGGGACTTGCAGGTGTCAGGGGGAGTCTCTTCTTGAGATATCCTTATTTGAATGACATCAAATTATGCTATCTCTTTGTGTGTTTACGTTTCAGGATCGCATTAAAGATTTTATGAAGAACTTTTGAAGGAGAATCTTTTGAGATGATAGAGCTTCCCAGACAATCATGAAGATGATTCTACATGGTCAAGCGTAGATTAGGGGGAGTGTTAAAACTAATTATGTAATTAGGGGAAAATCTCCCCTTGCTCAACCGTCGTGCGGTTGTTCCCGCAACGGGCGCCTCCCTTTGATTCCCTGGAACCGACGCTCTCTAGCGATGGATCATCATGTCTCTTCGGGACGTATAAAAGGGGCCTGTAACCATCGATCAAGACACCCGATCACTTTTGATTTAAAACATCTCCAAAGGGCACCGTGGCTCTTACATACATGATGCGTTACTTTAATTATTTTGACACTCCACCCTTAATCTTTACCGATAGAGCCTTCAGTGGTGTTTGAAACCGATCATCTTCTAGTCATTCTTGCGCCTTGATATAAAGTGTTTGGATTATGCTTTTTAGTTATTTGATTATTAAAATACTAAGAAACTAATTTATGAGTGCATTGACCAGATTAATCAACCAATGGAATAGGAAGTTTACCATGTGAAATTAAGAAGAGTGCTTTAAAGATTTTTGGCTTCTGGTCGAACGGTTCTTAATTCAACTCGAGGAGATTTATCAAAGATCTTATGTGAAGAGCACAACATAGAATGTATGTGAACTGTATTGTAATGGCTTAACATGGTGGTTTTATATTTTCTGCTTAGTTCCTCTGGATATTTGAAAGCATGCACACCCTATCCTATGAACAAGAGTTGGAAAACGCCTTCTCTCATTGAAAGCACACCACCGGAAGGGATGAAATAAATGCAGACTCGTGGTTTAGTTCCACCACAATGAACCTAACCATTTGAGCTAAGCTTAGTTCGCTCCTCCAGACATAAACCTGCTAGTTGCTGATATCTCCCTCCCATCCGATGTAAATGGTCCAAAAAACTTTATAATTCATAAATGAAGTGCATACGTTTTTAAATGAATCTATCTGCATAAGTTTTTCTGAGATTCAAGTTTGATACGAATACTAGTATTTAATCTTATGTGTCACCAAATTAATTCCTGTTCAAAAGTAGTTTTCATCGTACGTGCCTTTTTTACTTTTCGCATATATAAGAGGTCAAACTTCATAAAGTTTGTCCATACTTTTATATTAAAATATTAAAATTTATAGTATTAAATTTATGCAATATGAAAATTAAATTCATGGTGCATCTAATGTTGATATTTTTTTCAATAAAGTTGATCAATTTTATGAAGTTTGACTTCAGAGACAAAGGACGAGCACCAGAGGGAGTACTATATACATTATGTGGACCATAAGTCAGGTTTCTAGAAAGAGAAATCATCTACAACCGGACCTCATGATGGAAATGGCCGTCGTTACCCATTGTGGCATTGGTCCAGTCGTAATTTAAGGTGGATGGTCAGATCAACCCAAGAGCCAAGACTGTTTTTGTTTTAAAGTTACAAATATGCTACTACCTCCGTGAATAAGTCATTTGCGTAGTTCTAGGTCGATGATTTAAGTATCTAAATATGTATTATATGTGACAAAAAATATATATTTAGAAACTACATCCGTCTAGAAATCTAGAGATATACTTTTCATGACATATAACACATATTTAAATCCTTAAATCGATGACCTAGAACTACGTGAATGACTTATTCACCTAGACGGAGGTAGTACCTTAGATACAAACAATTCATGGTAGAAATAGAAATGGAGCTGCCTATTTTTTTGATCAAATAAATTGAAATAATGTTGTTGTAAATAGTCTTTGTTTTTGTGCACTATTACCATGTTGTTCAATGAGACATGAACTCGTTATTGAACCATTGGGTTGGCTCCATGTCCCTAAACAGAAGAGGGGCCAGCAAGGACCAGGTTCGGACCAAGGAACTGGACCCCACAAACGTCTCGCTTGGTCGTAAAATCGCATCCAACTAAACCATTCTAAACCAGCCTAAATGTTTGGGCTGATCGACCCAACTCGACCCCACCTATCTTGTCTTTATCTGCATTATGGATCAAACCCTTGCCATTTTTGCCTCTCCACCCCACTTTCAGTCCGCTTTGCCCAGCTCCTTTTTGGTGATCTTGGGTCATTTTCAACATTGTAGGCAGCGAATCTGAGTACGTCAACTTGGATTTGGCTAGCTTTCTGTCGATCCCAGGAGGATACTCAACCACATGGCTTCGTTCGCGCCTTAGCGCCAGTGGGGCTTAGATTGAACGGCGGTGATGCGCCGCCCGCCGATGGCTTGAGGTGTGTGTCTGAGCAACCCCTGCATTGGGCCCTTGTCCCCACGGTGTTAGGCTTCAAGTTTGGAGCCAAACGTGCCCATGGTGAGATGGCCAAGGTGCGCCGCGTTGCAGAACGTGAGTCGCACCGTGCCACGTCGGACAAGGCCAGAAGGATATTCGTGCTTGTAACCTGGCGAGCGATAAGCTCAGGCGGCACGTGCGCTTGCGGTGGAGCATACCCGTATTGTCCATGCCCTCGCTGGCCCTGCCCCCCAAAGAGGAAGAAAGAGAAGAACGGTGTCGCATTCGACACCTCCAGGCGCAAAACAGATCCGCCTCGGTCTCTATATCATCTTCAAGCGTTACAATATCTATAAACCGGACAAGTGCAAGGGCGACAATGGATGAACTTTCTCCATAGCTCGTTAATTCTATGCTCTATAAGAATTATAAAGTACATTGTTTGATCTATGTTGCATGAGATTATATGGATTTGAAGGGCATATGAGGGGACGATTTGCCTAAGTGTGGTTGTAGATGCTCCAGGACAGATAATAATCTATCTTGTGACAGCCTGAATGAATGACACAAAAAGATAGGAAACCAAATAAAACCCCCCAGATGTTTATGCCAGTAGTTTACTTGATTTCCCATCAGACGAGTTCAGGAATTCAAAGCCTATAAGCAAAAGGTGAAACGCTCAACTACAGGGACTAGAGAGCAGATCCCGAACGTCTTCCCACTTTTAAAGAAAACAAAGAACTCCTTCCCCCTGCAAACAGTTACTCAGCCTTGGTGCTTCGAGACATCTTGCATGGCATCATAAGCTTTCCTGCATATTCAAAAGAGGACCATCAGAGACTGCTTCACTCACTTGTAGTAACACTTAGGAGCAAAAGCACAACAAGAACTTAATAACTACTAATATAAGTATGTCTGGTTCCTCACAATGCATAATGCAACCAATGATGTGTTTGCCACAAACAACAAAAAGGAGGCAGATGGGATACCGTAATGCATCCTCAATCTCAGTGTTAGCTCGGTCCAACTTGAGTCCATCCAGGCAACTTTCACAAGCACCCTTGTAATCCTGATGATAAAACACAAGTTAATAGCCAAAAACAATTCGCACACAAACTCATATAGAGGAAAAAACATCCGGCAGTATCTTTTTTTTAGATGGTATCTTCTATGTAACCTTCAGTAACATCAGAGCCGCGCCCTGCCGGTAACAGGCTGTTGGCCAATCAGGCCGCATTTTTCTGCATTCGTTAGCATCTACCAAAGCCTTGTCTCCGTCACCCATGCGGAGCGAGCAAAGGCTCCTGTTTGAGTACATGGTCGCATCATCTGGATCAAGCATCATTGCCTACAACCAACGAGGCAAATATTTGGAATTTGTGGGCACTGACAATGAGATAGGAAATCTACCACATGACTGAGAAGAGACTCGGCATAGTCGATTAATCCTGAATGAGTAAGGCTGGAAAACAAAGCCAATTAATCCGACATACAGTTAACAAATATAGCACAATGTTGAGGATATACCACGCGAGAATTAAAGTGGCAGTGCGTAAATTATGTTTCCCCTATGTCTTCCTACAAGTGGCTATCATGACGCTTTTTATCACTTCATTCATTATCCACTATGCTTTAACCAAATCTAGAAGCCAGTAACTCCTAAAATATTACAGTCATACTTAATTTATTCTCAAAGAAATGCACCATCAGCAGGTTAACACACTACTAATCTACCCTCTTCATGTTTATGACAAGCTGGAAGCTCAACGATGTCTTAATTCTCCCATGATTTGTAACAAAACCAGCTCCCGCAATAATAGGCTGCAGACCTGTGGCATCGTCGGTAGGAACCTTTGTTGCCCCGTTCTTTTTTTTTTGCGGGAAGCCCCCCAACTCGATGTGAATTTTTTGGTATTTGAACAAGTTTTGACCAAAAGAATATTTTAGATCAATGTATTCGCATTAAAGAATAATGTAAAACCATATCATAATCTATGAAATTAGAAGCCTTGCCCGCTGAGCCAACCACCCCCTCTCCAACCCTCCCACCCTCGCCGCCGGGTAGAGCCTGCGCGGCGGCGGGACGCTTCATTACTTCCCTTTCGCGAGGCTGGGGTGGCACGGGGCCGCTAGGCCAAGGGAGGTGTGGGGCGGCGCGGCGAGCTAGCGTCTGTCGGCGTGGCGTGCGCGGGCGATTATGGCTGTGTGTGTGCTGGTGGGCGTGGTAGGTCAAGGGCGCGTCGACGTGTTGTCGCGGCCCGATCCAGGGCGGCGTGTGGGCGTGGTGCTCAGGCGCCGTTCTCGGCTCGGAGCTCAGGGGCGGAGCCAGGATTTGAGTATAGGGGGGGCCAAGCCAACTTAAGAAAAAATCCGGCGAAAAAAATCAAATAAAACAAGGTTAGTAGGTAGCTCGAAAGCAAGCAGCTTAAAAACGAATTAATCTTAATGATGTTTGGCGGCGTTTTTTCTCTTCATAACTGCTGAATCGTAAATGGCAAATTGGCAATCACAAAATTAACTATATTGTATAAGTTCGACGTAGAAAATTTTGGCATCACAGATAGATAAGGAATCGTATGACATAATTTGGATCACATTTATAGGACATGTAGAAGATATAAACTCTTTGTAGCATCTCGAATCACACAACAAAACAAGTAAAATCTGATGTATAATTTCAATACCGAGAGAAGATGAGACTTGGGACATCTCGGATCACACAACAAAACAAGTAAAATCTGATTTATAATGTAACACCAGGAGAAGATGAGAATAGGGAGAGATTCGTAGAGTCTGATGTGCTAACCTTGCTGGAGCAGCGATTAATCTTTCAGTAGGTTGAGAACTTGAAGCAACCAGTTTAAAAAAAGCATTAATCTTAATGGTGTTTGGCCCTGCTTTTCTCTTCATAGCTGTTGCCTGCAGATTGGATTGGAGTCATGGAGAATTAACATACTGTATAAGTTCGACATAATCGCAGATAGGAACTAATACAAGATAATGGATAATTTGCATCACAAAAATAAGAACCATCCGGCGCACACAGTACAACACTATCATGATAATTGTGGACATGTGGAAGATGGGAACAGGGAACTCTTCATAGAATCAAAGACCACAGAATCACAAATTACACAACCAAATTACCAAAGCAAAAAAAATCTGGAGCACCAATTCGACACGGATACATGATAACAGGATGAGAATTGACTTGCTAGTTCGTTGATTGAAACGGGACTGCAGGAAGAATTGACAAGTGCAGCAGCCATTTACCTGAATATGTGAATCAGATCGGCTGATCCCTGATCGAGAATCAAGAGCAGGAGCCACCGAGCCAGGAGATGAGGAGAAGCAGGCCTGGGTCCTGGACAGGAGCAGCCGAGCAGAGCAGGGCGATGGGCGAGAAGGGCGAGAGGCGAACGGGGGCGAGGGCGTCGAAAACTGGAACGGCGGCGGCGACTAATCCCATGTATACGCTAATTATGGATGTACAGTTACGAGAAAGCTAGCCAGCTAGCCTAGAGCGGTAGAGCCAATGCCCATCAGCCGCTATTAGTGGGCTTTTTTCACACAGGCCTTCTTTTTTCTTGCTGACGCTGAGATAATTAGGGGGGGCCAAATACATGCGTACCTGACTATGTATCGTCAATTATATAGTAGGTACTTCATGTTCGCTCTGCTCGCCCCCCCTTGTCTCCGCCACTGTCGGAGCTGCTGCGTGCTGGGTGGGGGATGCGCGCTTGCGGCCCCTACGGCACGCTGGTGTCTGGATCTGGTCCTCAGGGCCGAGTCTACCGTTGCTCAGCCGGAGGCGACGCGCCCTTGCACGCAGAAGGTTGGACGGCACGTGCGTGGTGTCTGGATGCCGGGGCGGCGAACCCAGGGGATCTCGACGGGGTTGCGCCATCACGGCTGCGAGTGCAGCGTGGGGGTCGGCCAGGGACACCGGTGGCGGTGGATCTGGGGTTCTCCCTGCCCAGATCCGTTGGCTGCGGTTGGTGGTGGCTTGGACGACGCCGGCGGCCCGGACGATGGTAGTTCGCTCCACCTACGTGGTTGGGGAAGGCCAGAGATCGCGGTGGAGGTGGTGGCGTCCTGTGGGCGTGGGAAGGGATGTGCCCTGTTCTTGATCTGGTTCATGCGGTGTATGCGGTGCTACAAGATATCCTCTCCTCCCACTACGGTAGTCAGCTCATTTTGAGAATCTCCTATGGACTTGGGATTCGTGGTTTGGGGTTGGGAGAAATTCCTGCTTCGCGATGTTCAAGGCTGACAACGGCAACACCCGCGGGCGCCGTCCCCTCCATGGAGGCATTGTCTTGGCCCCGATCCGAATCTCTCCGCAGGGAAACCCTTGGTCCGACCTCCGAACCAGGTGATGGCTGCGTCATGGCATCGTTTCCCTCCTTGGAGGCATCGTCTTGTTGATCGAGGAGTCCCGTTGGTGCAGCTCGACTCGGTGTGAGCAATTGCTCTGGCGTGAGGCACTGAGGCGCAATGTAGATCATCGCCGACGCTCTCTCGACGACACCTTCTCCATGTCTGCCCGGGCCCTGCCATCCACTTGCCGACTTCTTCTTGGCGCAAATGGGTGGGGGTATGTTGGTTTGTGTCGTCTCGGGTCTTGGTCGTGTTGTTGAGGTCTTTGGCGTTGGTTGTGATGCGGCTTGGTAGCTCTGTGATTTGCCTCATTGCCATTGGCTTGGGCTTGATCTAGGTGATGCATATTTCGTAGTTCGCGTGGGGTGTGTGGCTGCTAATCCTGGTGATTAGCGTTGTGATGGCCGAAAGGCATTGTACCCGACTTCTTTGCCGCTTCTTCTCTAATGCCATGATACACATGCTTATTACGTACTCCAGAAAGAAGCCTTGTCTCCTTCAGGTTGAAAGTTCGACAAGAAAAAAAGGCGATACACAATCCATTGATAACATATGGACTAAATGAAATTTTAGAAAGAGACAATGTAAGAAGTATATGATGCTTTAATATTACCACACTGTAGGATCCTGCTGCAGAAAAATAATCCTCCTTCTTGAAAGAGTTGTTCGCAAGTTTCTTAAACCCTGCCACTCTAGTTTTGTTTTTAGACACAGGCTCGTCCTGGATCATCATGATATCGAAGTTAATGAAAGACTTCAGATGCGCAAAACTGTATAAGTTCTAAAATACTTCGAATTATGATGTAAATATTTGGAATCGGATCCCATTACATAAAAATCCTTTTTCTCACATATCTAGGATGCGTTTGGTTGAAGGTGTCGTATGAATGGGTTGGGACCGTTCAATTTTTTTGGGATTGAACCATTCAATTCATGTGTTTGGCTGAATATAAGTGGTGAGCTAATTATTTAGGACGGGGCCACCAGTCATGCTCACATAGTCATGCATGCAAAGGGTGGCCATTTGATTCGACCGATTTGGTTGGGTGGAACGGTTCAGCATCTTCATGGCATATTCTCTTTTTTTGGCTCGAACCATTCATGTGCTTTATAACCAAACACGTCTATTTTCTGAACGATCCCAACCCATTCATGACCGCCCTTGCAACCAAACGCACCCCTATTGACTGCATATCTGTGAGTACCTTCAAGCATCTCCGCTGTGTTGTACCAAAGAATTTATCGCCTAAATTGTCAACTAAATTCACACAAATTTGTGATATCATGCTTTGGTAACTACAAATAGAGTCCTACAAATATGAACATGCATGCTACATTAATCTACATACATACAACATGCCAGTCTCCACCGGCCTTACCCGCCAATGTGAAAGTCACATTTTCATTGTTAATAACTGGCAAGGAGGTACTGATTTCCTCCATTTAAACTTCCCACGCACATTGTATTATACCATGTACCATCTGCTATCTTATACATAATCTTGTTAGAATTTCTTGTAACTACTTCCACAGAATTGAGGATTGCCGATTGCAGTGGTATTATTTATTATTTATTTATTTCAACTAACTGAACTTGCCTTGTAGTAAGCCAGAATGTCCCTGAAATATTTATGAAGGCAACCTTGTAAATAAATTTCAAATGGCACAATTTTTACACCGTAAGTTTCACAACTGTAATAATTAGGTAGTGGCCCTTACACCCATGTTTGGCAAAATCCCATTACAACCATAAAGCATGGTAACTTCTGTCTATGTCAGTTATCTGGTAGCATGAACAAAATATTAACGTGAGCGATAATCACGTGATTAATATTCATCCAGTCCTGAGCCCTTGTATCTAGAAAGACTGCAATAGGAAATTGTCTACTTAGTACTTAAACTTTTTAATTGTCGCCTGTCACTATATTTCTTATTTGTCTGCGTTGTTTTTGGCTTGTAAGAAACTTTATAGTAAGATTTAGGCTGCAGGCACCATTGATGCAAAGCCCGGTGGTAATGACCACTTCCCTTTTCTACAAAAAGAACATTGCATTATCTTCCTCTTTGGTGCATGTGCCTTGCTTCTTCTTTTCACGTGGGATGAAGTTGTGTTGTGTGCTATGATTAATCCAACAGGCCCGGGCTTTAATTCCAACTGTGCCATTCCAGTATCAAAGCCACTTTGGGAATTTTGGTTTCCTATTTTTGGACGAAATTATTCGAATATGCAAGAAAGTACCGGAGCCTTACGCAGTACCCGATACACACCTAGGTCTTGGAGGATTGTCGGCAACTAAAGGTCCGAAAGAATAGTGTATTTTGTTGCCCCTAGAATTCCTAACATGTGTGCATGGGTTGCAACTTGATAGGGTCAAAGTGTATGCATGTAGAGTTTTAAAACCCAATGCCTAGCCACCATGTTTGCAATGCTGATTAGAACTCTACATGAATGATTCGCCAAAAAGATTGAACTCAACAAGCATAGTGTCAAAGAGGTAAATCTTACATCATCTGGAAGAACACGGTCGGCAGCAGCATCCTCCTTAATGCAATTGACGAAGTCAGTTGAAACGAGTTTTTGAGAATGGAGATTCTCCACAGCATAGGTTAAAGCTCCCTTGGCATCAGCACCAGCCTATATCACAAAAAAAGATGTTCAATGTCTGTATCAAGAAAATATGGGGATAAGTCAGTCCTCAAGATGAACTGGGTAGCATTTCAAATTTCTGCACTTTAAGGAATGAATAGCCACTGTTTCAACTAGTTCATTTTGTTGAGTTCACTCTTCACTGTCATCATACTTGGTAACCGAAAAAATGGTTAAGAAAGTATCTACTGCAAGTGGGGCAAATTGCAGAGTACTACAACTGTGGCCAAGTTCACAAAACAAAGGCCAGCACAGGAAGTCAAGCGTTCTCAACTTCACCAAGAAAAAAAATGTCATTACATAGCAAAGGGAATCGTCAAAATTAAAAGACTTGAAAGTCTAAGGTGAAGGTCCAATACCCTAATCAGGAGAAGCATGCAGTTCCTTGAGTCAGCATCTATAGCTGCAATGAGAGGCGTCTTGCCATTTACCTCTTTATTGCGCTGTTGAGAGACAATTAAGATATCAGCTCCTATGGTCAAAATGATAATCAAGGGATAAAGATAAAAATTGACACATAGATATCACTAAAGTCAAATAGCTTTCAGGGCATTACAAAATACACAAGCATACGGAACTTATTGATCCAACATATTTCATAGCTTACTAGAATTTGGTCAGACCTTGAAATTTTAGATGGCACTTAAAAGTGAGCATCAGCACAAGATAGAGAAGACTATTGTGGAAAATATGCAAAAATACAATTGCATCAATAAGTTATCTCTAATTATCAACGTCAACATTCAAGGGACCGGAAGTGATGAGATGTGCAGCGGTATATATCTTGTATTCCATTAAAAAAGTAAGCAGGTCGTGACATGCATCGACAGAATAACTATTACTACAGCAAGGAAATAGATCCTAGGCTTGATAGTATATTACTATGAATTTAAATACAAGTGCATGAAGTACGTCGACACATGTTACGATGGCGCGATTTGAACAAGGGAAAGAAAAAGAAAACTGTAATCAAGATTTCAAGAGTTACGGTGGTACGATCTTAATGTGGAAGATTTGGGGACTTCGCAGTGGCGCACATCTGAGAATAAGACTCGAATTGGCAAGAACTGGAGGATTCCATTCTCCACGAGCTAGCTTCTGGAAGGAGGCAGGGGCCAAGGCGCTGCAACGCCTGCTGCTGCACAGATGGTCTCCTGATATTGCTTCTTCTGCAGGTTTTTGTTAGCTATGCCTTAGGTTTTTTTTTGCTGTATTATCTCTTTGCTTGGTTTGGCCCCTTCGGCCTTTGCTTGTAATTTGCCTTATCTTAATGAGCTAACTGTGTTGAACAAGCTATCTAACAGTGTTCAGAATTGAGCGCCAAGCATTCATGATTTAAAATGCAGAAACGACAAAGTAGAATCAAGCAACCAGACAACAAGCCAATAGAGCATGAGAAATACGACTACTGAGTTTTCTTTAGCAGAACACAAGAAATTAAAGTTTGCCATGTAAATGCACCTATCCAATGGGCAACTTAAGGCTGAAACATATGCATTTATAAACTTACATCTGCATTGTGGTCCAGCAAAATCTTCAAAATGCCATCATGCCCTTGAGTAGCGGCGCAATGAAGTGGTGTCCCACAAAAGGCTACCGGGTCAATATAGGCTCCTTTAGCAAGCAATAGTTTAACAGTTTCACAATCTCCTGAATAATGCACAAACTTGCTGGATAAGAGGATATGTATTTCTGTCACATTCTCAATCTGAAAGATTTTGTTTCGAAAGAAGTGTTTCCCCTGATTTCCATTAATAGCAATAACAAGCTACAAAGACTTAGAAAGAAAATGAGTCCATGTACTCCCTCCGTCCTAATTATTTTGTCTTAGATTTGTCTAAATACGGATGTATCAAGTCACGTTTTAGTATTAGATACATCTGTATCTAGGCAAATCTAAGACAAGAATTTTGGGACGGAGGGAGTATTTATTACAGCAGAGCATATAGGTATTTCTTTGGACATCTTTCTTTTCAAAAGTCTTATACACCTCACTCTGCTTGACCATGTGCCATAAATAATGACTTGTTTGATCAGGAAGGCATTCGTTAAAGCCAATACATTCTGTGGCTAGATAATCTATTACCATATACTCCCTCCGTTCCTAAATATAAGTCTTTGGAGAGATTTCACTATGAACCACATACGGAGCAAAATGAGTGAATCTATACTCTAAAATGCATCTAGATACATCCGTATGTGGTCTATAGTGAAATCCCTACAAAGACTTATATTTAGGAACGGAGGGAGTATGAAACAAAGGAATCTTCAACAATTCTTAGCCCTTTGGGAGAAGCTAGCTATCGTGACCATCCAGCCGAGTGTCAAGGACTCTATTGTTTGGAAGCCAACCAATGACGGGCAGTACTCCGCAAAGTCTGCTTACTTGGCGGTTTGGCTGCTTTGGTCTGGAATCCCCCAAGTGCAAATTTTCGTCTGGCTTGTTATCCAAAACAGAGTTTGGACGGCTGATAGGCTTTAGAGGAGAGGATTGCCAAATTGCGACAGATGCCCCCTTTGCAGTCAGGTGCAAGAAAATGCAGCACTCCTGCTCTTCAAGTGCCGTTTTTCTATCCGGATTTAGATTGAGATCTTCTCATGGCTTGGGCTTGCTGTCCCCACGGCCCCTTCGCTCCTGTTCAATTCGGTGAAATCTTGGTGGGATGCGGTCCTTTCTAGCAACACGCACCCGACGAAGGCCTTGTCTTCTTTGTTACTCCTCGTGGGATGGGAGATCTGGAATGAAAGGAATACTCACGTCTTCAGGAGCAAAGTGGCGCCGGTGGCGACTGTCATGCGACGCATAAAAGAGGAAGTTTCTATTTGGGCCATGGCGGGCACTAAGCATTTGCGTAATGTAATGCCGCGAGAGTAATTGTTCTGTTCTCCGCCGCTGCTTGTCGATGTGTGTAATGAAACCATTTCTTAATCAATGAAAATGGCAAGTCGTTTGCCTTGTTTTAAAAAAACAAAAACAAAGGAAAACAGATCCTAGTAAGAAAACAATACTAAACCACACTATAATACAACTTCAATATTCAAAGGACAACTTAAGAAAACTTGCAGCATACAAATGGAAAACAGAGGCATGCGTTTCTAGGGATAGACCTGATGTAGTGGCTTCATGTAAAGGGGAAAGCCCATTGTGGCAGCTTTTGTTTGGATCGGCACCATGATCAAGAAGATATTTGGCAATACCCACACCCTTACAAGATATCGCAAAAAACAGAGGTGTTCTACCTGTCAAGCACACAGTAATGTAGCTTATTGATGCAAAACCTTTCAGGGTTTAGCAAAGAAATAAATGCATAACTTTTAACCCCCCACAGAAAAGTATGAAGTAGAATGAAAGATTTTAAAAAGACAATATGGCCCAAATGGGAACGAATCTAACTTTATAATTTAGACGTCTCCACAACAGATGATTGCATATATAAACTTGCAGCATATGCATATGTCCAAAAAGTAAATCAAACAATCCTGAAGAAATAATAATTTACCCTCGACGGGGCCTACTTACATCAGCCATGCTTATGTAGGATATAGCCTGAGATATCATTAACTGAGCATGGTCTATTTCCATAAGAAGCTATATGATCACTTCTTGAGAAAACAGGCACGGCACAGACAATATCTGAACATTAAAGAGATAAACCCAGAGTGGCAAATATGCAGAGCAGCAGAGATGTTATATAATCATGACTTCATGAGTGATCATAATCATAATTTAGCAAGCCCAAAACATCAAGCACAGCGAAATCACAATTTCAATCTACAGATCTAGCAACTCATATAAACAATAATTAGTTGGAGGACATGAAAATCGAAACAGAGGTTCCATTTCCGAGTGACCACACTGCAAATGATAGCGCTTGGTGAAATCTTGCAAGCCCATACTTCCATATAAATGCCGAGCAAACAAAAATAAAATGATCACAAAATCCTAAATCAATATACTCCCTCCGTTCGGAATTATTCGTCCAAGAAATGAATATATCTAGATGTATTTTAGTTGTAGATACATCCATTTTGTTGACAAGTAATTCTGAACGGAGGGAGTAGGATTTTGGAGGGACCCTGACCTCCCTTGTCGACGGCGTTCACATCAACCTGCAGGTCCCCGACCAGGTACCTGCAAACCTCCATCCTCCCTCGGTTAGTGGCGACGTGCAGCGCCCCGAGACCCTGAAGCAACCCGGCATCCTCCACCCTCAGCGCCTCCACCGTCTCCTTGAGGCGGCCCCTGCCCATGTCCAGCATCGTCACCAGCCCTGCAGCGGATTGGACGCGAAAAATCAGCACTCAAATCTCCCAACGAAGATCTGGGACGAGGAGATCAAGAGCCACAACCACGTACTCTTGAAGAGGTGGAGATCTCCGTCGGACGCCGCTTGGAATATCATGTTCAGCATCGGCCCGCCGACTGCGGCACGAGAAGCAGCGTTAGCGTCTGGGGCTGAGGGTTAGCGCGTTGGGGTCGGGGATAAGCCGTGAAGGAGGGGCTCACCGGTGAAGGG